GTTATTTTGCTATTTTTCTGCGCTTACGTCGAAACGATGCTGTGAACCAACCTCATAATGGCTTAATTTATAAACAGGTCATCATTTATGACAATCATGCCTCAGAACGGAGATGAGCTCCATTTGACCGAACAAATGAGATAATAGAAGACATGAAATTTCTCCGAAGCTAAGATACCATATTTGTGGCTCTTTACTATCAGTAATCAGAATTTAAATAAATAAATATTGTAAATAAGCATTTAACCTAAAACGTGAACTTGTTTTCAGATCAAACTACACAATGACAGCTCATTTTGATGACTCATCCTTGAACAATCCACACAACAAAGATCTCAAAGAGTTTCCATTTCCATTTCTTATGATCTAGTTGCCAACCCTCAGGCTATGGGCAGCAGTGTCAGCAGCATTAGTGGAAGCGGTAGTACTGGAGGGGCCAGTGACTGCATTCTTCATCTCACCTTCAAGACTGGCAAGCCATGGCTTCTGTTATGCCTGGAGGAGGAGGCGCAGAAATCAATTCAAGCAGCTCTCTGGGAGGTCTTGGAGACAGGCAGGCCTTCCGAGGATAAGCCATCAGGATCATCTGAACACATGGGCACGCAGGATCGAGTTCTCCCGACCAATCAGGTGACTCCTTTTTTCCGTCCTATTCCCGTAGGCAGGGAATGGTCCACTCCGGGCTTGAAAGATCCAAATGCGAATGACTCGGCTGGAAAAGATTTGCTATCACAAGGTTCTTTGTCCTCACCACCAAATTCTGCAGCTACATTGGCTATTCCGATTGGCCTCCAAGACCTACCGGTTTTTCAGTCAGTATCAAATACACTAAGGGATGCTCATCTAAAATTCGCCAACCCGCAGTACCAAACGGAAAGTAGGCGGCAGAGCAGCTGGCAGTTAGAATTTGGTAAGTAATTTCTGGTTAATATAGAAAAACTATAAATCTAGAAATAGTATTTCTCTTAAATAGTTCCATTAATTAGTATTTCTTGCAAGCTTACTTTGACATGGAGAAGAGTTTGTCCCAAAGCTGCTAGCTATAAAAAACATACATTCTCATCTTTCATCATTACTACTTCTTATACTACTATCGAAGGTTATAATTATGATATTTATACTTTTTTTTAATGTGAATGACCTAAGGTAGGAACCTAATATAACTAAGTTAATTTGAAATTTCCTTGTTTAGGTGTTTTCTTGAG